TCATGTGGGCTTTGCTGTTTCTTAGCTAGATGGATGCTTGTTTATCTTCAAGCCTTTAAGACCCCAGATGCTACATCTTTTGATAGCTGGACACCATCAGCTTTCTTCACCACATTTGCTTATGCACCCATTTTGTCTTCAGCAATTGTGTCAGGGAAGGTGAACATCACAAAGAACCATTTTAGTAGAACAAATTGTTCTTGTGTTGAGGGTGTACTTGAGTGGAGGCCCAATGGAAACATAATTTTAATCTCTATGAAGGAAACTTGGGGATCAATACTGGGCCTAAACCTAGGGAGGGGCTTTCTTCTTCTTCACTATTAGCTCTTCTCTCAGGCTCCGTTCCGCCACCTGGAAGCCTATCCCAGAGGGATATTTTGGCCCTGCCTTCTACCGTGGTACACTGAGGGCTGGCCCATCTCCCAAGGACACCTTTCTAAGACTGCTGGTAAGTGAGTTTCGCTCTTCTTTCTTGGTGATCTTACCATTTACTCTTTTTTTTCCTTGTAGTTATTTATCTGTAAAACGGATAAGCTCCATTTTATGAAGGTTGGCCAAGATGATATTTATGCTTTTAAACATTACTGTTATTTTTCAGTGTGGTTTCAATTCTGTCCATAATGTAGGCACACTGGTTGGTAGCTTGTAGAAAATGCTTAACTTGAGGGCACAAATAAGAATGAATTTGCAAATTTCAGCTAACAGATCTCCCATACTGCAACCACTGGCATAGTGTTTAATGAGAACATAGAGACCCCTCCACCCCCATTTTTTTTTTAATCCAATTGCTTCAACATTACCATCGTGTGATTCTGGTGACCAAGAAATCCCTGAAAGAGCAATGAGCCATGGTTACTGAGAAGCTCTGGCCACAGAAATGCTGAACATTTAGCCAAGGGTCACATACTGTGCTTTCCTAAAAGGAGCTAGGACTACAGACATCGTCTCTTTATGTATTGAAATGGCATTGCCTCTGGTGAGTGGCTCACTTCCTCTTGGCAGTTTGTTTCTGATAAGCTTCAGGTGTCACAGCATGGCCCTGGTCTCCTGCTGCTCAGGCAGCCACCAAGCTGTACTGGCCCATCCTTCTGTAATCTGTTAGAAGTTTCCATGACCCAGGGGCAGCCAACATCTTCAAACAG